TAGATAGATAGATAGATAGATAGATAGATAGATAGATAGATAGATAGCCAGACAGATAGATAGATAGATAGCCAGACAGATAGATAGATAGATAGATAGATGGACAGATGGATAGATGGACGGATGGATAGACAGATAGACAGATAGACAGATAGATAGATAGACAGATAGATAGATAGATATGCTTATTTCACACTCACTTTATTTAATTCTTATTAATGAAACATTATGTTAATTTAGTTCACTGCTGTTCGTGTCTTGCAGCTACCTGTTGTCACTCTGAAACATTTCTGATATCTATTTATCAGAGAATTTTCGGTCAAGTCATTTCGCTCCAGTACACCGCTGCCATCGGCTCGATGGAATATGTGCTTTGGTACAGACAGTTCACTAATCATGCTCCCGAGTACCTTGTCTCCACATTCAAGGATGAAAGAATTGAAGGAAGGTTTAAAGTATCTGTCGATGGTGAGAAAAGCTCCACCACGCTCACTGTTAACATCGCCCAGCTCGCAGACACTGTGGTGTATTACAGTGCATTGAGACTCAGTGATACAAAAAAGAGTATGAAGCTGTACAAGAACTTACTCGGTCCGATAACTGAGGAGATGATAATAGTGGACTGCTGAATCGAAAGCAAGGCAAGGAAAACCTATTAAAAATTAACTTAAATACGTAAAATATGTACAATTTATATAATTGAATATATACAATTTATAATTCATTGTAACAGCGAATTTTGTTTTCACAATTTTGTGCGTAATCTGTCCTTACCAGTACAAAATATCTCTGTATTTTGCCGGAGCTGTAATTGTCTGTAAATCTTTGTTCGCAAAGTTATCCTGGAATTTATCCTGTAGCAGGTTCGTGTTCCATGTTCTGAGTCTCTTTTTCATTCGACAACGCAGGGAAAGATGCATTTTGTTGTTAATCGATGCATATTGACTTTGGAAACGAGCAATTGAGAAAGGAGTTTTTTTTTGTTTCATTCCTCTATTGTACTTAGCAGATTCTGATAGTAAAGTATAAATGGAGAGTTTCTCAGTGTCTGACCTATCTTGTTGCTGCTTTTACGATCTGGCTTTGTTGATGTTCAATTTTGATAGATGTAACATTTATGAGGAATCCAAATACAAATACTTGTTGACCGTGACATTTGCAACATGAGTGCTGTCATTCAAAACAGTTCCTTTCTTCATTGCCCTCTCCTTTGCAAAGCCACGAACATTTTATGTAGAGTTCCTGCCCTGAACTATATCATCATATAAAGTGAAATGTGACATAAAGTTATTTTCTGCAGTGCCCAGCTGTCAGCTGGCACACGGCAAAACTGACAGTTCTGTCAATTGTGGTCACAGCAAATCTGCTGCAGCGCCATCCAGTGGAATTCTGACGTTTTGACATTGATTCTTTGTTCTCTCTCAAATGTTGCTAAACGTTTTGATGGGTAATTCTTACACCAAATCATTGAATCCCTCCCGTGTGGAAACAGGCCCTTCGGCCCAACAAGTCTACACCAAATCTTGAAGCATCCCACCCAGACCCATCCCCGTATAACCCATCTAATCTACAGACCCCTGAACACTACGGGCAATTTAGCTTAGCCAATCCACCTAACCTGCACATCTTTGGACTGTGGGAGGAAACCAGAGTCCCTGGAGGAAACCCACGCAGACATGGGGAGAATGTGCAAACTCTGCACAGACAGTCGCCCGAGAATAGAATTGAGCCTGGCTCCCTGGCGTTGTGAGGCAGCAGTGCTAACCACTGAGCCACGGTGCCTCCCTAAATTGGTATTGCAGGGATTATATCATTGACATGACTTACGCCGTCTATTTGTTTTATTTTTGCTATTTCCATTGAATTCTGAGATATCTTGTCTGAGATTCCTGAATTACCCAAGACAATCACAGAACAATGCTCTTTTTAACGAAGTAGATTATCAACAATTCACCCTGGATAATCATTGAATGTTGATGTTGAAAAGAAAACTGACATTTTGTCGTTTCTTTAATCATCAGGACCACATTCAAAATTAAACAATTCCATGATACAAGGTTGATGGATATTTTGTTTCTTGTACTTGTGTCGTGAGACAAAGGCAGCATTTTCATCCACACTCCTTCCAAAGGTGGTATAAGTACACGTCTATCATTTTATGGTCGGGTGTAATTGTCCAAAAAGTAAAATTCTCATAAAATTCCCAGACCATCACACCCCTTTAGGCTGACATTGATACTTCAAGTGGGAGTGACCTAAAGATGTGCATCAGGACCAGAGACAGGGTCGGGCAATTTCGTCCAATGTGATAATAAATGTGAAACATCCGACTATAATTTAAACAGGGGCATCATCTAGCTTCATAGAAACAAACTTATGGACAGATTGTTTAATGCAACCAGAGAGAGGATCAAGTGTGAATTAAACTGATAAAGTCCATTGTCATCTAATGAGTGTCAAAATCAACGCAAGTATAAACGTTGACGTGGTCTGGTGTCTTATTAACATTATTATTAAATTAACATGACGCATGGAATGGAAAGAATGATTTGGTCAAATTTTCAAGAAATGTGGATAGTCAGATTTTTGCAAAAGCAGAAATAGGAGCTAACGCAGCAATACTTGAGACATTATTAATTTTTAAAGACAGAGCGAGTTCATGGAGTACACTGTGGACTGTTTATTGAATTACATAACCAGCCCCGGATTTCTACAAAAATAGTGAGTTGGATGCAGGTACAATTAGCATGTTGAAAAAGGCATTTGGATGCGTTCGTGAATTCAAAAGATTTGGAGGGATCTGGGTCAAATGTAAGTAGGTAGGGCAAAATTAGATTGAGAATATGATCGGCATTGACTGGTTGGTCTGAGGGGGCCGGTTCCATGTTGCATGACTCAATTTTGTGTGAAAGTCAAGACGTATAAGCATGTGGAATTATGTAGAAGAGCTAGAGAACTTGAAGATCCATAGCAATATTTGCACAGTTTGAGGTTAATGTGACCAAGGAGGTATGGACAATTAAAAGCATAATCTGCTCCTTGAAGAATACAATCCGAGGCAAAGACATATGTAGAATGCACACGAGTGTGTGGCAAGGATTATTCAATTTTTTTTAGAAGGTTTGGTTGAAACACCAACACAGACCGAAGCTAAATTGATAATAAAGGAGACAGAGATTTGTGAAACAAGTATTAGGGCCTTACTAACACTGGCACAACCATGCCTTCAAATCAAGGAGGCAGGGAAAGGTTAAATCATAATGGGGACCTGGTACAGCACTGATACAATAAGTGCATGCTGAAATTGTCTTGGTGCCAGTAACGAGTGCAATATCATCAGGGTCAGTTAAATTGCAAGCAAACACAGAATATCCTCGAAAAATCTCGGAGGGTAAAGATTACGTAAAATATTCAGTTCGAGGTGAAAACCCAACACAGGCAGAGAACAGAGAATTCAGTCATTTAAATCAGGGCTCGTCTCAATATTACCGAGGGTCCACATTTCATTCCCAAGTTACATCACATAAATTTTGGAGGAAAGTGTATCCAAAACGCGTGATTTAGTTTTTCAGTATATTCCAGACTAAACTGTGAATCAGCCAGATGGAGACAAGTTATTGAATAAGTGAAATTTGCAGTTATTTTTACACAGACACGAAGAAATCGTTAATCGTGCTTAATCTAGTTCATATTAGGTAGAGGCACGAAAGGTCCCTTTACTCAAAACTAGAGGAGGCCAGAAAATTAGTGCTGAAGGCAAGTTTGAACTGTTGGCCCCCATCTTTACCCATACGTGCTGAGTGGCCAATCCGTGTTGGCCTTTTCCTGAGTTCCCAGCATACATCAAGGCTGTGTACAACTTCAGCACGATACCTTGACTCGAGTATTCTGTTCGTCTTGCAATGAAGACCACATTTTCATCTGCTGATCTAATTGCATCCTTCACCAGACAGCTAGCTTATAGTGACTCATGGACAAGGTGTCCCTGATCCCCTTAACCGCCTGCACTACCCATATTTCACAATTTGAGAAAAATTCTGCTTTCTGTATTTCAAACTAATGTAGATAACGTCGCAATTAATCATATTATGTACCATTTGCCAGGTTCATTTCCATATAGGTAGTCTGCCTCGGTCCCATTCTATCCTCATTATTTTCGAAGTGCCTACTTATCATCTGCTTTATTATATGATTTGACATTTTCCCTGTTGCTGACACTGAACACGTCTTAGTTAAATATATCTTCACCCGCCCTTCTTAAACAATGGTGTCTTTCCAATCCCCAGAAACATTTCTGGAATTTCTCAAGCTTCCAACGATAACCATCAAGGCACTCATCGTCTCTCCAGACACATCGTTCAAGAGTTTGGAACGCATCCCGTCTCGGCCAGAGATCTATCAACCGTTTATGCAAGAAGTATTCTGTTCTCACTTGCCAAAGAATTTGCAAGAGCTGGCCTCCTTCTCGGCATCACCCCATATTGGTACAACATTATTTCAAACTGTTCAGTTGTAAATACAGACGAATGTTAAAATAACACTACCGTGGTACAAAAATCTTTAAATAATCTGACTGCTAAATATATAAAACAATTGGGATAATCGCAGAGAACGTCTGAGACTTTCTTCAAATTCGGCATCAGGCCTCAGCTCAAATTTTGCCATCGGGACTCAGTTTGATTGAGACATCAAAACACGTGGAAGGGGGCTTCAGAATTTGCACACAGCTGTTCACGTATAAATTGTATGTAATTGTGTATCTTCCCAATGTTACATAGAATACGTGAAACCATGAGTTGAAATGTTTGTTCACTGAACTGAAACTCAGGTACATGTTCGAAATTAATTGAACCTCTCGAGACGCAGACGTTGAATAAATGAGAGAAGTTTCAATTGGAACACAGAGCTCAGGTGAGAGCTTTCGAGAAGTCTACCAGTTTGTTGCAAGAGATGCATGGCCCAGCAAATGGCCCGTTCTATGCCATTTATTATCCAATTGTTGCTGTTATTGGTGTCCCTGGTAAGTAACAGGTTCCAAATATTTGTTTTTCAGTGCAACAAAATCTTTCTGTTCAATATCAGAATTTGTGTGATATTCCCAGTTGAAGGGACCTCGGCCCAAGTTCATATATACACATGCAAAATGTTAAGTTATCTTGCAAGACGCAAGATTATATCTAACCTGTGGAGGAGAAAACAGAGTTGACGTTTCGGGTCCGGTGACCCTTCCTCAAAACAGTGTTCTGAGGAAGGGTCACCGGACCCGAACCGTTAACTCTGTTTTCTCCTCCACAGATGCTGCCAGACCTGCTGAGCGTTTCCAGCAACTTTGTTTTTGTTCCTGATTTACAGCATCCGTTGTTCTTTTAGTTTTTATTATATCTAACTGTTACACTGAGAAATTAGAGAACAATTGTTTGTTAGATTATTGATTTTTGAATTGTAATGTGTAGCATTGACTGAACTTTAAGCCGATAAACTGCTCAAGATTAAATTCCATTGTTATGCTGGAAACTGAATCTAATGTTATTGGTGTTATTTGGCATAATCCGCTATCATTTTGTTCGACATTTTTCGGCACAGATTTCATGATAATTTCGAAGGAAATTACTGCAGATCTGTCGTTAATTTAAACATTAAAGTAGTGAACTAGTGAACACTCGAGTTAGTACAGTCATATTTTGAAATTTCTCACAGCCAACTTGCTGGCGATCGTCGTACTATTACGAGGACGGTGCGGACTCTCTCGGTGCACCACCTATTATTTGGTGGGGATAGCAGTGAGCGACTTTCTTGTCATCATCACTGGGTGCATCCTCAATCGAATCGGCGGCATTTATTTCCGGCACAGTGCCCTGTCTACGACAAACGCCTGTGCACTCAGCACTGTGATGATCTATGCCAGCCGAGATGGATCAGTCTGGCTGACAGTGGCCTTCACCATCGACCGATTTGTCGCCATTTGCTGCCAAAGTCTGAAGACCAAGTACTGCACTGAGAAAACGGCCTCATTGTTCATCGGAGTGGTTTGTGTCCTGAGCTGCGTCAAGAACCTGCCTTCCTACTTCGTCTACCAGCCTTTGTACATTGTGGATGGTGTGTCCTGGTTCTGTGAATTCAGAGACGCATACTATAATTCACCTGCATGGAAATCTTATGACTGGCTGAATCACATCTTGACGCCTGTTCTCCCGTTGCTTCTTGTTCTGCTGCTGAATGCTTTGACTGTCAGATGCATCTTGGTGGCCAACAGTGCCCGAAGGAAGCTCCGGAACACAGGGAGACACGGAGATTCAGAGATGGCCAATCGCAAGAGGTCTATTGTACTGCTCTTCACTATCTCGCTGAGCTTCCTCCTCCTATGGGTCACCTATTTCGGGCGCTTCCTCTATGTGCGGGTTACTGGTGAAACCTACTTCAGCGGCTTGGATTTCACTGACCCACAGTTCACTCTCCAAGAGACGACCAACATGCTGCAGATACTCAGTTCCTGCAACAACGTCTTCATTTATGCAGTATCCCAGAAGACGTTCCGAGACGAGCTGAAGAAGGTTCTGTTGTCTCCCTTCACATCTCTCACTCGGTGCAAATAATTTTGTCATGTTGTTTTGCTTTCGTCAGATTGGCTCAGTGTGCAATGCATTCTCTTTCTCTCTCATTCAAATTTTAAAAATATATGTGTGTTTATGCTTTTCCACTCGAGAAATGAACAGTAAAATTTTCAGCCTTGAAATCCGTTGTTGCTAAAACTAACAGAATGTAAAACTACCAGAAGCTGTATATTTCAAGGTGAGACGCTAAACCACAGTCTGTGTTTGTGATCAGTATTTTAGATTTCTAATGGTCTGGGACATTTCATTTGGTATTCAGCTCTTTATGTCCTTCCCTCTCCGCTGCCATTCTTCTGTCAATCCTTTGTTCCGTCGCCCTCATTCATGTCTCGGGACGATTGCATCTATTTATCTGAATCTCTCACGTTTAACTTCACTTTGATACTGTACTGATGAACAGCCCATCATGTCATCAACGATGATCTTGGCTGTTTTCATTTTATGTCTGGATCGTACGATCTGTGCGATAATTCAGTAATGCTCAGATTTAGTTTATATCTTTCACACTATCAGCAGATCCAGATAAAGTCTCACCACCACTCACCCCTCGCCACACACACACACACACACTCACACTCACACACACACACAGACGCGCCCACAGACATGCACACACTCACACACAAACAGACACACACACATACATACACACGCACACGTACACACACGCGAATTACGTGCTCCACCTTCCCTCTACCACAAAAAAATCAATGTTATTGATTAAGGTGATCAATATTAATCAAGTCAAACAGTAAGGATATCTTGCGTGTACTTTAGACAATTAATTACATTTGCCAGTTCCTAACAATCGTTTCTCTCGTCCCTGCGTGAATATTCCTAATGGGGGAAGTGCACCACCTAGTGGGGGATTCGGATAAATGAGGTGCGTCAATTTTCAGTCACTGAAATGTTGAATGATTGCTCTTCATTCTTCAAGGAAAACTATATTATGATGAGGAGAAATTATTCCTCCTCTATTGCAACTTCTGTGGACATCTACATTATTGTTTATTTATTTTGAATATCACTAAATAATTAAAACATATGTTTAATCTATTTAAAAAATATATTAGAAACTGTGTAATCTTTTCTTTGGATTTGAATGTGACCAACAAGTCTGGTGCTTATTGTTCAAACTCAAGTAGAGATTGGAATCATGGAGGTTCCAATACTCGTAGATGTTGAAAATGGGACTGTAAGGTTGACCTCAAGGCGTACCTTTAATTTCTCATGGACAGTCAAGTGGGACAGACAGTTCTGATGAAGAGTCACTGGACTTGATACGTTGATTCTCATTTCTCCTCACAGCTGCTGCCAGACCTGCTGAGTTTCGTAAGCAATTTATGTTTTGTTTCAAATCTACAACTTCCGTAGGTCCTTGTTTTATTATTATGGTATACAGGTAATAAGTGGAAACACAACTGATGATCTTCTGATGGTAAACTGAAAGATTCTGAACAAAAAGTGTACATTGACAAAATCCATTAGTTTTTGTTTGCACAACTCTACGATTTGACGAAGTGCACGATTTTAACCATTTCTATGTTGCATCTGGCGCACAGTAAAGTTTTTTGCAACAACTGAGAGACACAAATAAAAATGGTTACAGCATTCAAGACGCATCCCAGCCGTTTTGTCGATCAAGACTTTTCTAACTGAAGTCAGTTATAACAGTGGCCAATTATGAAGACCATCAGAAAATAAATGCATTTGCACATCTGTAACATCTTTTTTTTTTTCAATTACGATTAAAGTATTGCCTATCTTTAATCAGAGCGTATTACACTGAGCTCCCTAAATTATCTTAACTTAGCTGTAAAAGAATTTTGTCTGCTTCAATCAATATTTCGGGGGAATTGATTGCAGCTAAATGGTACACTAGTCGTGAGGATGTGAACTTGTACGCAGTGAGTTGTTAAGATCTGGGATATACAGCCAAGTTACTGGTAAAGAGGAAAAGAAAGAAAGACTTTCAGAAGGTGCCCGGATAAGTCTGTATGTATTGGAGGATGGAGACACCGGTTCTGTGGAATGAGTAGTGGAAAGGAAATCATTCATCCATAATTATGGGGGAGGCAGTAGTGTACTGGTGTTATCGCTATACTGTTAATCCAGACCCCCCCGTAACGGTCTGGGGACATAGGTTCGAATCCCACCAAGCTCGAATGTAGAGATTAAATTATGTAAATGTCGGGAAGTACGAATCTATTGATAACCCTGAATCTATTGTAGATTGTCGGGGAAACACTGATCTGGTTCACTGATGTCTTTTGGGGAAGAAAACTGCCATCCTTACCTGGTCTGGCCTACATGTGACTCCAAACCCACTACAATGTGGATGACTTTTAACTGTCCTCTGGCCAAGTAGGAATGTGCAATAAATGTTGCCTTGCCAGCAACGCCCTCATCCACTGAACGAATAAAGGAAAAAAGGTTTTGAACCAGTAGGCAGGATATGAAGGTCCAAATGGTACCCTAGTGTGGTTTGCGATAATCGTCTTCCATGTGCATCTGCAAACGAGTGAATTTTGGTGTATAGAGAAAAGCAAGAAAAACTCCATTTCCTCCGGATAGTTTTTATCCATAAATTTCCACACTTTTCAAAGAGAATCTGTCGAAGAGACTGAATTAAATTACACACCAAAGGTCCAGACTTCGAGGTAAAGAGATTTCATTCGTGATATCAGGGAGCGTCAACGCTGACAAAAGGTCAGATCTGAAGACTCCAACAAGCATAAAAAAGAAGCAGAATTTATCCAGTGGTACAAACAAGTTCAAACAAACTGCATTTGTATTGTGTTTGAGCAAGGCAAGGTCATTACTGAGGCAAACAGATAAGAGTGTACAGATGCTGCGAGCTCTACCTTTTTACTATCTATCCTACGTGACTTCTTAGGCTCGGGAAAGGCAGGGTGCAATTACAGCAATATGCACTGTTTCATAATGCAAAAGTTTCTCTACTTCGTGCTCCGAGTCATGCATTATTTTAGCTCATTACTATTCAGCCAAAATTAAACAGTCTCAACATACAATTAATCCACAGAACCATGGAAGTTGAGCAGTGAAAGCAATTATTTTTCCTGATTCTTCAGCTTGTGAATTTTGCCATTCCATCAAATGCCCCTGTTCACAAAAGGCGCACATCACAGGATGTGAGCTAATCCCCTGCATGCTCGCTCGTGCAACAGGTAATGTGTCTTATGCTGCACCGGCAGATTCCATGTTTGATTTCTGCATGTCTCCAGTGCATGTTACAAACTCGGTGCTCATGACGTCTCAAACTGGACGGGTTTTCTTGTCCTCCTTAGACATTTTCCAAGTGAAGAGCTGGTGTGAAATATAGCTGGTAGGATTCCAACATCTGCAAGGTGACTGAGATCGTTGTCTTGCCAATTCAGCCATGACCACTAAACGGATGCTGATAAATTTGGTCTAAAATGATACAGTTATCCCATAAGTAAAAACGGGCAATCCATCAGACGTATCCGCGCCATTATCTGATATTTCTCAAAAAAACCCACACCCTCTCTTCATTCCTAACATATTGGGAAGGAAAGGAAGAAGAGAAACACCACGCTTTGTCGATCCCAAGGGAAAGGGACGGCAGTATCAGCAAATTGTGTTCTGCTTTAATACAGACATACCTGCTGTAGCCATTGACTATGTGCACTTAGATTCTCTGAGCGATTGTTTCATGATAATCTTTATAATTGTTCGGCATTCCAAATACCTTCAATGTACGAAGTTTAAGTTAAGTGGAGAGAATAACCCCAGCAGCGTTGAGCAGGGTACAATTATGCAAAACATTTTCATCACCATCGGGCAACGTACAAAGGGCAGAATACAAAATAAATAAATTGCTGTAGTGTTTGGGACGGAAAATAAGTTGGTACATTCTTGCGACGGGAACGCATGTAATATCATTATTTCCTCGCCATCAGAGTTCAATGCGAGAGAATGGTGTCTCTAATATTCCAGAGTCACAACAGTGTTCTGAAAAAAAATACTAAGAGAAAGATGTTCAAAGGAACAGACGAAGATCGTGCAGCCTTATTTTAAATCTGAAAGAAAAGGACTCATTTTAACCACAACATATTGCGATGAGTTGTCAGTTTTCAGAATCTAATTGTATGCTGTGAGATCGTTCCTTTTGTTGTGCTGAGAATGACTGGAGTGTGAAATAACGCTTTGTATGGAATCCGGGAAAAAGATGGGAATATACACTCGGTTCATTGCTTTCTGCAATTGATGTTGAAGCATGACACTGCGACAATGAGAGATTAATCACGAAAATTGCATTCTACGACGTCTCAGTGGCAACAACACTGGCTGTGTGCAGCACTGGTTGCCACACAATAGGAAACGGTGCAATAAAGATATTTACCAGGATGTTGCGTTGGTCGGAGGGTATCAGCGAGAAGGAGAGCTTGCATAGACCCAGACTACTTTCGCATCAGTGTCAGATGTGAGAGACGACTTGATAAAAGTTTATACAATTATGACAGGCGTGAAAGCGTAGATATGCGGAAACATTTTCCCCGGCAGAAAATGTCAAATACTAAGGGGCATAGGTCTAAAATGAGAGGAGAAAAGTTTAAAGGAGATGTGCGAGTCACTTTACTTTACACCGAGAGTGCTCGGTGCCAAGCATGTGCTAGCAGTGAAGGAGGTAGAAGCAAATATGCTAACAATGTTTAATATGCACTTAGCATGTGCACGAATCGGCAAGGAATAAAGGATGCGGACTATGAGTAGGTAATAGAATTAGTTTATAACGGCAATGCAGTCAGTAGAGACATGTTTGGCCGACGTTCTGTGTTTCTGTGCTGTACTGTTCGATGACCGAATGTCACTTGGGTCATTTTCACTTAAATTATTCAAAAGTAAGTCATGACATTATTGGTGCTGGTGGCACTCAGCTGTCAGACACTGCAGTGTATCACGTACAATGGCGCACTGAGACATAGACTGAGCACTCCTAT